GAGTTCCTGGGGGAGGTTGTTTCAGAGATTGCCAAAAGAGTTTTCTAGGCAAAAGAACAATATAAACAAAGGTCTAGAAGTGAAAAAGAACTACAGAAAGAAAATCAACATGGCCCTGGTGTGAACTGGGATGGGGGTAACAGTCCCACTGGGGGGTAGGCAGAATAATTTGAGGAGTTTGGGCTTTTTTTGTGTGTGTGTGTGTGACAGAGTCTCATTATCTTGTCCCTGGTAGAGTGCTGTGCTGTCGTAGCTCATAGCAACCTCAAACTCTTGGGCTCAAGCGATTCTCTTTCCTCAGCCTCCTGAGTAGCTGAGATTACAGGCGCCCGCCACAACGCTTGGCTATTTTTTGTTACAATTTGTCTGGGGCTGGGTTCAAACCCACCATCCTCTGTATATGGGGCCAGTGCCCTATCCATTGAGCCACAGGCGCCACCCGTGTTTAGGGCTTAATTTTAAGAGGTTTAAGGAGTTGTTAGGGAGGTTTGAAATAAGAGTGGTCAGAGATAAAATCGGTTTCAATAAATCACCTCTTGACTAAATGGGGAAATCGGAGGAGCACAGGGAGTCACAAAACAGCACCAGCTCCCAAGAGGTAAGATTCTATAATGTCAAATCCGAGAGGGCTTTTAAATCAGCATTTTTGCTTTGAAAACACTGTAGTAGACTATTAACCTCACCAGGTGGAAGCCCTTGACAACAGTCTCTCACTCCAGATGAGCACAGCTCAAGAATGAACTCTTCGGTGCATGATGATAGACATAGCAATCCATGTCAGAATGGAAAAAGGGCAGGCTGGGGGCAGTGGCTCAGCCTGCGACGCCGCACTCTGGGAGGCTGAGGCAGGAGGATCTCTTGAGCTGAGGAGTTCAAAAGCCTTTGCAAGAGTGAGATCCCATCTCTACTAAATATAGAAAAACTAGCCAGATGTGGTGCTGGGTGCTTATAGTCCCAGTTACTGGGGAGGCTAAGGCAGGAAGATTATTATTCTATTTTATTTTAGGCTGAGGCTGGGTTTGAACCTACCACCTCCAGCATATGGGACCGGCACCCTACCCTTTTGAGCCACAGGTGCTGCCAGGCAGGAGGATTATTCAAGCCTAGGACTTTGAGATTGCTGTGAGTGAGCGTGGGCCATGGCACTCTACCAGAGTGACAGAGTGAGACTCTGTCTCCAAAACAAACAAATAAAAAAAAATGACGCATCTTGGCTGGTCACAGTGGCTCATGCCTATGATCCCAGCACTCTGGGAGGCCAAGGAAGATGGATTGTTTGAGCTCATGAGTTAGAAACTAGCCTGAGCCAGAGTGAGACCCTGTCTCTAAAAACTAGCTTTGTGTAGTAGTACCAGCTACTTGGGAGACTGAGTCAAGAGGATCATTTGAGTCCAAGAGTTTGAGGTTGTTGTAAGCTACAACCCCATGGCACTCCACCAGGGGCAAGAAAGTGAGACTCTGTCAAAAAAAAAAAAAAAAAAAAAAGGCACATCTTTACACCCTGACCTTTTGCATCCTGTCTGAGAACATTTATTTATATTCCAGGCCCAGAAGGCTAGCCCAGCTTGGCAATGACTGTGTATAGAATGGCAAGACTCTGAGACTAGAAGCAGCAGTTCTCAACCTGTGGGTCACAACCTCTCTTTTATAATAAAAACACATTGTGGCTTTAGGAAGGTTGAGAACCACTAGTAGAGAAATCTGCTTTGGTTCTCAGCTTGAGAACACTACCAGTCTCAGGTTATGTAAAGCTTCATGAAATAAAAACAAGTGGGAAACATTTTGCACACACTAGGTGCTTAAAAACCTCTTCCCTTCAGTTACTTTGTTTCTGAGGCCCCAGCTGGCCTCTGAGTATAAGGAGGGATCCTATTACCTGGTAGAAGACCTTCATTCTCTTGGCCATTCCCTGTGCCCCTCTCCAGAAGTTCTCTCATATCTACCCTCTTCCTCAGATTATATTACCATGGGTTTGCACAACAATCACTGTCATATAGCAATAATTGACCACTTATAAAACATGCTTTCCGCCCATACATAACAGAGACTTGCCCCATTACACTCTCTCTGTACTTTCTTTGAATATGTATTTGACCTCAATTATTCCTTTTGATAATATTGTAAGGTTGAGTGTTGCATGTAGTAATCATTAGTTGGCAAAACAAAAACAAACAAAAAAACGCCCTAGATTCAGAAAAGTTATATGGGTTAACCTAGGCTTTGAACATATAGCTGCTCATTTCACTCTGTTACCCTGGGTAGAGTGCTGTGCCATCATAGCTCACAGCAACTTCAAACCCCTGGGCTCAAGCGATCCTCCTGCCTCAGCCTCTTGAGTAGCTGGGACTACAGATGCCCACCACTGCAACCTCCTAGTTTTTCTATTTTTAGTAGAGACAGGGTCTTGCTCTTGCTCAGGCTGATCTTGAACTCCTGAACTCAGGGGATTTTCCCACCTTGGCCTCCCAGAGTGCTGGGATTACAGGTGTGAGCCACCGCACCCAGGCCTAGCTCATTTTCTAAGAGGAGTTCTATTCTCTATCCAAAGGCCATCTCCTAGCAAAGGTTGCAATGAGCATATATTTTAAAGAATACTTTTAGTTTCTTTTAAATATTAAGACCAGAGAAGCATGGACTTTTACAAAGGTACATCCATTCATCCATACACCATTAGATGTCCTTTTACACATATATTTAGTTTTCTAGAAGAAAAACTAAAGAGGGGTGGTGGTGGTAAGATGTTCTCATAAAGTTGACTGCCAAATGTGGTGCGCATATTACCTGAATCAAAATCACCTGAATACTTTTTAATAGAAGATTTTTTTTGGGTCCCAAAACTTTGACCTGAGTCACCAATAATATATGGGGCAGTAGCTTTTCAGCATCACATCACTCAGCAGATTTATACTTTCTCAATCACATACTCTATCCTTTTCATGCCCCCCTCAAAAATTGATTATCTTATCTTATATATAAAACAACTGGTTTATAACCGGAGGGGCTAACAAGAAGGCTACAAATAGTGATTTAGATTTAACAGCTGACATATCCAGGTGTTCCAAACAGTGGGATTTTACACATACTGCAGTGATTTTCAACTGGTATGCCCCAGCAGTGTGCTGGGAAAATTTTTAAAGATTGTAAATTAAATTATTTTCAAAATAAGTTCAAAGCACAGCAAGTATATTCTTTCTTTTTCAATCCACATAATGCAAGTGTGCTGTGGAAATTTAACTCTGGGTTCAAGTGTGCCGTGAGATTTAAAAGGTTGAAAAACACTGAAATACTGTGCTATAAGCCATTCCACGTTTCTGGAACCATGCTGTTGAAAAGGGTATCACTTCCAATACAGGGTGGCCATAAAGTTTGTGTGCAATTTAAACAGTTGTATCGCACACAAACTTTATGACTACCTTGTATTTTCTGGAAATTCTGTCGTCTATAGAATTAATGAACTAGCTTTTGTAACACCAAAAACAAAACATGTGACATTAGTTTGATACAACTCTTTATCCTGATGATTCAACTTTTGTTTCATTCTAAATTTTTAAATAACTGAGTTTTACTTGTTTTAAAGCCAAAAAAAAAAAAAAAAAGAAGAAGAAATCTTGCAGATAATATTAGGAAAAAAGATCAACTTTCACCATTCTAGAACTTAGGATAAAATCTTATATCCTATTCAACTTACATTAGGCAGCTAAGGGTCTGCGCACGGATAATGTCATTACCCAAATACACACACTCTGCGATATAAAGGGATTGACATCTTCACTGGAAGATTTGGGTACAAAAGTTATTTCCTCTGGGTGGGGCAGTGTGGTTAAGGTTCACATCAGCCACTATCATTCAGGTAACTCAGGCAGAAAAGGCGTTTGAAAAAACAAATCAAGTGGCAAAAAATTAGGTCTGAGGGGAGGCAAGGAGGGTGGAGACATGTACTGCTCTAAAGTCCCCAGACGTCCTTGGTCCTGCGAATAGACAGAGATCAGCCCATGAGCAAGCCCAGTATTGGTTATTAATTAGCAAGACAGACTGGCTTTCCGCTCCTTGGCTGGAGAAAAACAGAAATACAGGCTTTGCGAGCCCGGTCTCCAGCTCAGTGACATTTGCACATTTCACCTGGGCCATTCGGTGACAAATCCACCTACTTAAGGAGGTGTGTGAAGAAGCAAGAACAATCAATTAAAAAAAAAAAGAAAGAAAGAAAAGAAAAGAAATTCTGCCAGCTCTAAATCAGCCACGTGGAGCTGCTGCGGCAACCGTGGCCCCAACTTCCTGGTTTGCTCCCCGTAAGCCCAACCTGGAGGCTGGGGCTCCGGGTACTGTGTGCGTGTGTGTGTGTGTGTGTGTGTGTGTGTGTGTGTGTGGAGGTGGGGTGCAGTGCGCTCTTCAGGGCAGGGGCGGGAAGGACAGAGTTGGGGACTGCAATGACAATAAAAGTTTGGAGAATCTAACAGTGTGAAGGGGCTGAGCTGTATGCAGGGCAAAGGCTAAGGGCCAAGATGTACGGGCAAAGTGTCAGTTGGTGCCAGGGGATGGGAGGGGGGGCCTCGAGCGGGTGGGTGCGCACCTGGGGAGCAGGTGCAGAGGAACCAGGC